TGCCAGGGCCCAGCAGGGAAGCACCGTCCTAAATGTTTTCTAATTATACCCTCATATAATCAATTTTGAGGCAAAAGTCATCCCACCTGATTTTATAGATGAGTAACTGAGGCTCAATGACTTGCTCAAAAACTTATAAATGTAACTGCTGTCATGTAAAATAAAGGACCAAAGAAATCAATGAAACTCATCATAAAGATTATATTTAAAATGCTGCTTAAACATTAAAGTAGTAGTTGATTTGATTATAATTGAAAAAGGTATTGACTGTTGTTTAACTGTTAAAGACTTCAGAGGTTTTGCATTAGCTTTTCCTTTGGACCATTTGTTTTTTCCTTTTATGTTTTATCATTGCGATTTTCTTTTAAAGTTTACCTTAAGCTTCACCAATGTCTTTTTCACTATAAGGAACTAGAATCTTGCTAAAGAATCACAGACTCAAGGAACAGGTGGCCATGAGTACAGGTCAGGGACTTCAAGCAGAGAGACATGAATGTGTGCAGACAATAAAGGAAATTAGGGCTTCCACAGAAGACCACAAACAATAACCAACTCCTTACCACTTGCCTAAAACATCTCCCAAGGATCACATATGTCACCAGAGTCAGAAACTTTGTTTTCTGAAGCAGGAGACACACCAATGCAACTCTCTCTACTCTTCCATTAACACAGAGTGGTAGGCTGAGTCTCCAGTAATCCCAGTGGAATCTAATGTTAACTAAATGCTCCCCCAAATCAGGAGCCAAGACAGCATGGCCTGCACATGGATATGGAGATCTTTCTGCCATAGAGTCAAACTTCAGGTTGTTTTTACAAGTGGCTAACCTCTTAGCTACATAAACTTTGGTAATAATAATAGATTAAGTCATTAACCAAGGATATCAGGAAGAAATGAAATGATTAGAAGGTGCTAAAAACCAATAACTATATGAGCCCTGGCTGGTGTGGCTCAGTGGATTGAGCACCAGCCTGTGAACCGAAAGGTCACAAGTTTGATTCCCGGTCAGGGCACATGCCTGGGTTGGATGCCATGTCCCCAGTTAGGGGCATGGGAGAGGCAACTGATGGATGTATCTCTTGCACAATGATGTTTCTCTCCCTTTCTCCCTCCCTTCCCCTCTCTCTAAAAATAGATAAATAAAATCTTTTTAAAAATGACTACATGAAAACCACCGCCTTCAACTTGCTGAAATTATGAAAAAAAAAGTCTTTACAGGGCCTGTCAATTCTTAAATATATATTAAAATAGATAATCTAACCCTGGCTGGCATAGCTCAGTGGATTGAGCTCGGGCTGGGAACCAAAGTGTCCCAGGTTCGATTCCCAGCCAGGGTACATTCCTGGGTTGCAGGCCATAACCCCCAGCAACCACACATTGATGTTTCTCTCTCTATATCTATCTCCCTCCCTTCCCTCTCTAAAAATAAATAAATAAAATCTTTAAAAAAAATAAAATAGATAATCTATGCCTTCAAGATTCAGGCAAATGAAGGAAACCTGAAAATCTCAGGCTTAAAGTAAGAACACTTAGAGGTGTATATGGAACAAATACTCTTGAACTATCTCATGTTTAACAAAATAGTCCTTTCAAATAAATTTGTCCCTTGACTTAATTTTGTATCAAATATACAAACAAAATTTTTACTGAAGCCAAAAGATTTGCCCACTGAGTTGATATTGCAGATTAAGGCATATAAGGGCCTGCCAAAGCTTGAAATATGAGGATATCCTTCTACTGTGTTCCTATGTGGGTTTGAAGTAACCTTAGACTTAAGGTGGCACTGCCACTCAACTGCCAAGTTTCACAGGCCAACAAAACTTCTGGGTGATAAGTAAAACCCAGTATATCTGTACAATAGAATCTCATTTGGCAATAAACGAGAATGAAGCACCGACACATGTCACAACATGGATGAACCTGGAAAGCGTTATACCAAGTGAAAGAGCCAGTCACCAAGGATCATGTGTTACGTGTAACAAAGTAACAAATCCAGAGAGATAGAAAACTGATTAGTCAGTGGTTGGCCAGGGATACGAGGGTCAGGGGAAACGGGGAATGACTGCTAATGGGTGCAGGGCTTCTTTTGGGGGTGATGAAGATTTTCTAAAATTGATTGTAATGATGCACAATTCTGTGAATTCACTAAAAATCACTGAATTGTCACTTTAAGTGGACGAATTGTATGGAATGTGAATTATATCTCAGTGAAGCTGTTACTTGTTTAATAAAAATTTCTACAATCTTCAAGTCATGATTTTAAGCTTTTTTCATAAAAAACTTAGTTCTGCTCTTTAAATTAGTTATAATATACTACTAAGTCTCTTCCTTTAACTACTAAAATCTTTCCTTTTAGAAATATGTACCTTAGTATGGAATGGCTGAAATTTTAAGTGGGATTTAACTTAAAATAATCCAGCAGGTGTTAAGAAGGGGGAAAAGGTGTGGGTATAAAGTGGGCATGAGTGGACGACTACTGAAGCTGGGGGATGGGTAAGTGAAGGTTCCTCATACTATTCTCTATTTCTTGAGATTTTAAAATTTCATAATAAAAGAGTAAAAGTGGAGAGTGGTGTTTAAGACTTCCCAGTCACATCTATGTTGTCTCTCTGTTCTGTTTATATTTCCTTTCTTTAAATATACACATATCAAAATATCTACAGATGAAATAGTGTGATGTCTGATATTTGCTTCAAAATAAATAGGAAGTAGTTAATCTGATTAGCGGACTAGGAAGCATGATGGAGATAATTCCTCCCATGGCTGGAACACCCACCCTCCTGCAGTTACCAGAACACACAGAACCAGCAGCAGAGCCAGGAAGAAGTACAGACAGAGCAACTGTCGGTTCTGGGTGAGGACTTATGGAGGTTCATTGTACAGTGTTTGAACAAAGGTAAAACTTCTCATAGTGCAGAGTTTAAAAAAAAACACCTCTCTCACGTACATACATTCAAAAAGTATGCTGCTAGTGAGACTTTCTTCCTAAAACACCTGGAGAGTCGTGGTGCCAAATGCCATCCTCAGCCCTACTGAGTGGCTCCAGAAATGCAGTATCTTTTGATTCTGTTGTCACCTTGCAAATTCTGAGGTCACCCTCAGAAAAAAAAGAAGAATGAACAAAAGTTTGCATGTAGAGCCAGGGACAAGGAGCAGAAAACGTCCCAATTGAAAAGAACTTAGTTCCAAACAACTGATTCTTTCCCTGACCTGGTTTCCTGAATCCTGGAAACAAGGACACACCCAGCTGGCAGGCCCAGTGAAGAGCCTTCATCTTCTGGCTGATGGCTTTTCTCTCCTTCCTTCCTCCTTTCCTTCCTTCCTTCCTTTCGTTCTTTCATACTTTCTCAACTCTAGCTGTGGCTTGAGAGACATCTAAGTGCATTTACCTCTGGAAAAATTCCCAACAGTACACCTGATTTCAGGTTTTAATTTTAGAAGGGAAACAAATAGTTTTCAGTAATCCTAAACTAGCTATCTTTGAAAAGACAAGAGATTATGGTTTAACCAAGAGCAAATCCCTAAAAATGTACACAAGTTCCATTTCTGGCCCACGGTATTTAGAGAAATGAAATGCACCCACCACTGGGCTGAATTTAGTCTGACAAGTAGGCTAAAAAGCATAATGGATCTAATTCCTATCCAGTCAGAAACACCCATCCTCCTGCAGTGTTAAAGAACACTCAGGGAGGCCAGCAGGAGAGCCCAAGAGCAAGGCTAAGAGCACAGGATTCTTTTTACCTGGTGCACACAGACCGTGAACACTAACCATAGCATGGATTGTACCCCACTAAGATCATCCAGCATCAAAGTATTTCAAAGGAGAGGAAACTGGCATCAGTTTAAGTATACAATGTCAGTCCAGCCTCCAGGTACTTAACGTTCTTAATGTTCTTATCAAACAATTACTCTGGGTTCAATGAGTTCTCCCTATATTCTTAGAATATGGTCTTGAATCTGGGTATGTGAGGACCTGCAAAAGGACATTTTTGTGCATTCAGAACATATATTCATTACAGATCCTAGTCAAAACTGTCAGCACTGCCAAACTTCTAGATTTAGTTAGTTCATAAAAAGGTCATTAACTTTAACATGTTCATCTTCCACAATCTTTCCATGAAGACCCATTTCCAAGTCTCTCAACCCCAAGCAAACTTCAAGTGTTTAGATGCCTAGAAAGCTGTGAAATTGCTGTGAGGCAGAGGAGAGTAGACACCCAGGGTCCACAGACACTAAGGCCAGGTTCCATGGCCCCGGACCAACCTTTCCCACTGGAGGAGGCAGACATCTCCAGCTCACTGTCCCAGCTTCCCCGAGCTCGTGAGTAAAGATAGTTTGGGTCCTGGAGAATTACATTCTGGACAGCAGCCTGCCACTCCAAGAACACAGTGGGGGCGTAGGGCCCTCCTTTAATGACCAGGTACAAACAGGAGTTTACACACACCCTGCCATTACTTTCACACTCATCCTCACATTTCACATTTTTCATGTCTTAAGGGAGAACATAATAAGTGAGCTGCCTCAGTCAAGATGTCACTTCGTCCATCCTACAAATACACCTACTATGTACCAGGCACTGTTGATACATCAGTGAACAAAACCTTAAAATCCCTGCCCTCCTCGCACAGACGTTGTCCGTGAAGTAAATAGTGATCAAAAGAAGTTTAATCATTGCTTCCCCTTTCCTGCCACCCATTCCCATCCTTCCAATTTCCCAAAGAGCTGGGAATCTGTTTTATTCTATTAGTTTGACAAGGACTACAAATTCTTTAGGTTGCGAGGAACAGACACTGTCCAGGTGCAGCCCAATTCACCTCTGAACTCTATTCCCTTGGAGCCTTTTCCCCCCAAAAAAACTTCAGCTGGCCTGAGGGGCTGTGGTCCCCACCTGCAGCCCTGGAAACCCAATCCTGGGACAGTGGAGGGAACCCGCTAGAGCCCGCGGCTCCCTAGGGGGTTTAGGGGATCCTGCGGAGGCGAGCGGGAAGCGCGAGGCACTCACCGAGGAGCCAGCCCAGAACGGGCACGCGTTCTTCACCTGCGGGGAGCTGCTGAGCGATAGCGCCCCGAAGCTGAGTGCCACCATGCAGCACCCCAGGATCAGCTGTAGCAGCCCGAGCGACAGCAGCGGACGCGCAGGCAGCCCGGTGGAGCTCGGGGCAGCAGCGGCCGAGGCGGCCCGGCGAGAGGAGAGCGCGGGCGGGGCCGTCAGCGCCCCGGCGGTGGCGGAGCAGCGAGGCCGCAGTGGGGGCTGCAGTGCGGCCCGGGGCCAGCGCGGCCGCAGCGGTGGCAGCGGGGGCTCCTGGGCGACTGTGGCCGCGGCCCCAGGGCCCCCGGCCTGCTGCCCGCCCGAGAGCCCAGCTACGGGGCAGCAGGAGCCCGGGAGCACCACGGGCAGGGACATGTATGGGCGGGTAAGGGAGCGGCCAAGGGCGGCCGGGAGGGGACGCCAAGCGGGGCCTCGGGCGCCACGCACTGGGCACCGCGGGCGGGCTCCGTAGACAGGGGGGAGGGAAAAAAATGTACACAGCCCAACCACTTGCTGCTGTCCCAGCCTCCGCTGCCGCCTCCACTGCCTCCTCCGCCGAACCCGCTGCCCCGGCACCCACCGGCGGCTCCCACCTGCCGCCCGGTAGGTCCGCCTCCGGCGGGCCGGTGGAGCACCCTCACTCTCACCCACAAAAACCCACTCGTCCTCTGCGCCTGCACTGGGGCCGCCGCGAGGCTGTAGCAACCCTTCGGTCATAGCCGAATTTGCATCCGATCTCCGGGGTGCAGGAAAGACGCCCAGCCCCATTTTTTAAAATAGGTCCCTGGATCTAAGAGGGGCACCACAGCCAGAGCGTGCAGGAGCTAGCGCTGATAATCTAAGAGCCTGCTCCGCCAGTCGCCAAGCTGCGGCTGGAGAGCGGTGCAGAAGCGCAGAGACCCTCACCCTTCTCTGGTTCAGCCAAGAAAGGAACGCTGGCAACCTTTAATGAAAAAGGAGCCTGGCTTTAAACTTTGTGCACTCCACCCCTAGGAGGGGGAATCACAGGAGGAGGGGCTATAAGTAACTTGGTGGGGAAAGTCTACGCTGCAGGGCTTTGGGGAAGGACGAAGCAGAGCAAAGTCAGGCTTCCCGGCGCCGACTGAGCCGGGGCCCTGCCGCTTGGAAAGGGGCGGGGGAAGAGGGCTGGGTAGGGCTCCCATGCTTTCCCAGCACCAGGGTAGGAGCGAGTGTGAGCTTGAGGTTACCTTGGAAATATCCAGAATCCCCAAAGAAAGAACGGGAGCAGCCCAGAGCACGTGGCCAAGGTTACACTCTGCGTCCACCTCACCTTGCTTGACTTGTGAGTTTTACTAGGTATCACCTGGTAGAGCATAGAATCCCAATCTCACAAAAGAAAGTCTGAACATAACACTAACCTGTTTTTGGTAATTTATAAGACATATTTAGAGCTATTTTAAAAAAGACAACACGATTCGACTTTGTGAAATGACTTTCTCTAATAGTGTGTGTATATATATATTAGAGTATATACTATATACTATATATATATATATATATATATATATATCCTTCCCTTGAAGGATTCTTATGTGTTGAACGTATTCTTATACGTAAAATGCAAATCTATTGTAATAGATTTTTTTCCCAAAAAACAGAGCGCTGTCACTTTGTAATAAGTCAGCCTCAGTATTAGACAGCTCATTTTATCAGTAAGGTGAGAGTATTTAACATCCTCCTGCCCAATAGACCAAGGGAAATGCGGAACTGGCTGTATGCTCTAGTTGCCAAGGCTGTATTTACTTCGGTCATCACTTCAACCCACAATGCAATGCATTGCTAATGTCGCATGTGTGTTTACATGCACACTTTCTGAATTATTAAAGCACCTGTGATTGAGTCCCAAAGACTTCTTCTGCAAACTCATCTTCAAAATAAACTTCGAATCATGGAGAAAAAGGGATCTGTCTTTTAAAATAAATGTTTTAAAGTATGTTTTTTCATATACTTTAAAACATCTTATATTACATGTTCTTAAATTGCAGGTGATGGTTAAATTAAAAGCATCTTGTATGCTGAGTTTAATTTATTTTATTTTTAGAGAGAGGGAAAGGGAAGGAGAAAAAGAGGGAGAGGAATGTGGATAGGCTGCCCCTCACACCACCAGGGACCAAACCCACAACCTAGGCAGCCTCTACCAGGAATCCAACCTATGACCTTTTGCTTTGCGGGACAATACCCAACCAACTAAGCCACATTGGCCATGGCATTGTATACTGAGTTTATACCTTTTATTTTATACACAAGCTTCAAAGTATTTAATTTTTAAGATTCTACTATACTGTGCAATATAAAAAATCTGATTGAGTCTCAAAAAGTTCCGTCAGTTTAACAAACATATTCCACTGGTCAATCCTTAACACCTGAAATGCACTGTTAAAAGTGTGTTCTGTGTGTCTGGGAATGTTGGTGCTAGAAGTCAGATAGCCTCCTTTCCTTTGTGGGGTTAATGAATGCAAAAGGAAGAGTTCCAGGGAAGCTAACAGCCATCTGTTTCTTGCTCTAGGTACTAGTTACATGGCTGAGGTTCACATTGAGAAAATTCATGCAGCTACACGTTGTGCACATCTCTGTATCTTATAAACACTGAAAGTATTCCTAAGTACTTTACCCTTAAATTTTTTTAAGTCTGTTTCCCTATATAGCAACAGATGATTCCAGAGGTCATTAAAATCCATAGACAGTTATATCCAATACTTATTTATTTTTTTCAGACTGTTAAACCTTTTCCAAAGCTGCCAATTAAGAATTGTTGTGGCCCTGGCCAGGTGGCTGAGTTGGTTGGAGCATGGTCCAGTGCAGATGCAGTTCTTAGGGCACCTAGCTAGGTCACAGGTTTGATCCCATCTGGGAGTGTACTGGAAGTAACCAATCAATGTCTGTCTGTCTGCTCTTTCTCTCCCCTGCCCCCCCCCATTTCTTACTTCCTCTCACACTAAAAATCAATAAACATATCCTCAAGAGAATATAAAAAGAGTTGTTACATTCCAGTTTTCTTTTCTTGTAACTGACCATATTTGCAGCTGTGACTTTCTTTTTCTGCTCTTACCTGAAACATGAATCAATGTAACACTGCCCCAACCTTTGAGGTTATGCCAAATAATGCACTTGAGTTTTTGAGTTTTGGAGTTTTAGATTTTGGAATCCAAGTTTGATTCTTTGCATCCCCAAACATTGCTTACAATAAGTCCTTAGTTGTACCTGATCAAGCTGAGCTGTATGAAACTAAACACTTACAGGATGATTCAGAGCCACTGATTTCAGATTGGCTTAAAAAAATAAAGTGAGGACTTTAGAAAACAGTCTGGCAGTTCCTCAAAAAGTTAAACATAGAATTATCATTTGACCCAGTAATTTCACTCCTGGGTATATACCCAAGAGAAATGAATACATACGTCCAAACAAAAACTTGCATTCTAGCATTATAATGAATAGCATTACTCACAATCATCAAAAGAGAGAAGCAACACGAGTGTGGATGAATGAGTAGACAAAATCTGGTAATCCATGCAATGGCCTGTTTTGGGAAATAAAAAGGAATAAAGTACTGATACATGCTACAACATGAACAAACCTTGGGGAAACAGTATGAAAATGCTAAGAGAAATAAGTCAGATAGAATAAGACAAGAGCCATACAATTTCACTCATATGTGGAATATAAAACAGAAAGCAACAAACAAAGCAAACAAACTCACAGACACACAGACAGTGGTATGGTGGTTACCAGAGGGGAAGGGGAGTGAGCAGAGGAGAGAGAGGGTCAAAAATGCGGTGACAGAAAGAGACTAGACTTTGAGTAGTGAGCACACAGTGCAATATGCAGATGATGTAATACAGAATCATACACTCAAAACCTATAATGGTATTAACCAATGTCGCCCCAATGCATTTACTTCAAGAAAACATTATTCTAAGTAAAAGATTCCAGTCACAAAAGACCACATATTACATGATTCCATTTATATGAAATCTCCAGAATAGACAATCAGTAGACAGAGAGTAGATGAATGGTCGTTTATGGTTGGGGGAAGGGGACAGTAAATGGGGGAAGGGTGATTGCTAAGGGGTAGGGGGTTACTTTTTGAGGAGATAAATGTTCTAAAGTTGACTGTGGTGATGATTGTGCCACTGTGAATATACTAAAAACCACTGAATGGTATACTTTGAATGGGTGAATTATACCTCAATAAAGACACATGTGAACTATATCTCAATAAAGCCCTTAAAATAAAGTGAGAAGAGCTTGTGGAAAAACAGACCCACACATTTCATTAATGTTCAAGGAAACAATAGCTGTAGTGTATTGTTTCATGGGACCTAGCTGCCAGCTTTCCTCAAGATCAAAGCCAAATTCCAAGGAGAAATTTCCACCAACTCTTCCTTCCCTGTACTTTGTTTTCGACTCTTCCCAAACAAAGGCTCTACTGCTCAGGATTTGGGGCTCTTTCGCTCAGGTTTCACTGGACATCTTTAAACAAGCACCTCAGTTCCCCCCACCCTTTCTCAGAAGACCCAACCTGTCCACTGATTACAGGAGGTTATTCCCTTTTAGAGTGGAAGCTGCTGCTGAAACTCCTTCAAACGTGTTCCCTGACCACCTGCCCCCAGTTGTTAAATTTTAGAAAGAGAAGAGTTTCTCCAAGTAAGGCACAGTGGACTCTCAAAGTCCTCATTTAATATGGTAGCTTTGGAGCAGCATCTCAATGTGTGGTACACGGGCAACAGAAACATTAGTGGAATGTGCCAGAATACAGATTCACAGGCTTCCCCACACCCACTCTGACACTCCAGATAAGAGGCCTGGGAACGTGCATTTTTAACAAATTCCCCCAAAACATTAATGGATGGAACTATTCAGACACCAGAATTTTTATGGGGAAATGTTTACGTAAGAGGGGACTAGGGGTGGCAAATTAGCTGGAAGAGGAAGGCAGAGGATTTGGCCTAAAAACAAACTTAGATATAAATATGCTGCAGGTACCAGCTTTGCTGGTTCTCAGCCGGGCACTGCTGTCCAGGTGACCTTTATGAAGAGGGATTGAGATCACTGGATTCCAGTGGGAAGAACAACATATTAGGAGCCGGACATCCTGGGTGGTAGCTCCTCTTCTACTGTGCTCTTGAGCCAGTTCCAAGCCTCTCTACCCTCAATGGCTTCCTCTGTCAAGTGCAAGTTTGTGATGCTTCATCTGCCTGAGGCTGGACCATGCGATGAGCTGCAGTCTCTGAGGCCAGCAATTTTGAAGTTCAGCCATTCTCATTGCCTTGGTTACACAGATGACCAACAAGAGAGCAGCAACCAAGAAAAGCAGGTGAAGTTGGTTGTGGAATCACTAAACCTGCAGACCCTATATTCCCAGGACAAAACCAAAAACTTAGGCTTCAGGTTCCGTGGTGT